ATGGTATAATAGAAATAGTTGAGCTTAAAAATACATTGAATGAAAATCCAAGAATTCAAGATATCGATAACTTGAAGGATAATAAGTTAGTAAGTGTTAACATAGTCGAAGACGTTTCATTACCATCCTACAAAGAGACGGAAAACCAAATAAAATCAGGTATCGATCCCATAAAAAATAAAATTCTAAATGTTAAAGATATTGATAATAAAAAAGCAGAAAGAATGATTACAGATGATGATGACGACGACGGTATAATTGAAATAGTTGAAGTACAAAATACATTGAATGAAAATCCAAAAATTCAAAATATCGATAACTTGAAGAGTAATAAATTACCAAACGTTACAACGGTCCTTGATACGTCATCGCCATCCCTCAAAGAGAAAGGAAAACGAGTTGAATCCGGTATTGAAATTGAAATTGATGATAAAAAAGAGGAAGGAATAATTATTGATGACGATGATGATGGTATAATAGAAATAGTTGAAGTAAAAAATACATTAAAAGAAAATCCAAAAATTCAAAATATCGAAAACTTGAGGGATAATAAATTGGTAAGTGTTAACATAGTCCAAGACGTTTCATTACCATCCTACAAAGAGAAAGAAAACCAACTAGAATCCAGTATCAATCTCATAAAGAATGAAATTCTAAATGACAGCAAAAAAATTGACGATGAGAAAGAAGAAGGAATGATTACAGATGATGATGATGATGATGACGGTATAATAGAAATAGTTGAAGTAAAAAATACATTGAAAGAAAATCCAAAAATTCAAAATATTGATAGCTTGAAGGATAATCAATTAGCAAGCGTTCTTAAGGCTTCATCTTGTATTGACCCCATAAGAAATAAAATATTAAATGACAGCAAAGAAATTGACGATGAGAAAGAAGAAGGAATGATTACAGATGATGATGATGATGACGGCGTAATAGAAATAATTGATGTAAAAAATGTTAAAAACTTACAGGATAATAAATTTTTAAGCAGTATCAGGACCTCTTGCGATTCATCGGCATCAACATATAAATTGAAAGAAACACAATCACAAAACACAAAATCTAATCGTAAACTTGAACTCAGTAAAGATCTTTCTGGATTAAAATCCCAGTTTGAAATAATAAAAAATAGATTGTTAATTGACAACAAAGAAGTTAATGATGAGAAAGAAGAAGGAATGATTTCTGATGACGACGATATGGACGTTGACATGGCTTCAATAGAAAAATCTAATATTGATAATATAAACATTCCAAATATTTCTAAAGCAGACGATAAATTGCAAATTACTACTACTAAATTCAAAGAATCACCACCTAAACACGGAATAAAAAGAAAGTATAGTGAAGGCGAGAAAAGTGATATTGGTCTAAAAATTAAAAGAACTAAGAATGAATCATTCACAGATTATAAAACTGCAATAGGTGATAATTTATCTATAACATTTAATAGCATGAAAGAGGCACGAAAAATAAATGTTTCTAATAGTAATAAAACTAGTTTAAAAGACAAAAGAAAATCACCCACTACTTATGTAAACGATGGTGAAATGCCGAGCACCTCAAAAGGAACTGCATGCTCAACTTCAGGTTTTTTTAATTCTAGTATAAACGATGATGATAGGCCGAGTACTTCAAGAAGATCAGAATGCTCATCTCCAGATTATTCTGGCATTGATAAATTATTTTTTATTGATACAACTCCCGGATTAGATCCCAATGATTGTGTTCCATCGTTTAAGGCTGTTAGTAAAAACAAAAAAGTTGAAGATAAAAATAATTGCCCTCAATCAAGAAATAGTCTTTGTTTTAATTGCGGTTCTACAGAACATCCATTATCTAAATGTACAGAACCTAAAAATAAAAAAAATATAACCCGCGCTAAAAGGCAATTTAAGAGTAATAGCGAAAGATATCATAAGAAGTCATGTCGTTATGAGCACATAAAACCGGGACAGATGGATGATGAAGTAACAAAAGCGTTAGGTTTACGTAAAGGTCAAATGCCATCATATAGATACGAAATGCGTAAACATGGTTACCCACCTGCTTGGCTGAAAGCGGCTGAAGTAGAATCATCAGGCTTAAGTATTATAATACAGAGTGTAAGTGATTGTTTTTGGGGTCTTCTATATAATTTAAATTAAATGTACATTTTTCTTAAAATTTTTCACAGGACGACCCGAAAAAAGCTTTTGATTCTAGACCAAAATATCGTAGATCAGACATTATAGATTTTCCTGGATTCAATTCCATACCTTTTAAAGGATTCTATGATGTAAGTATTATATTATAAATGCATATATATTATATTTATTTTTACTTATAGGATTATAAATTTCATAACGTTCCACCATTGACACCAAACCTAATGAAAGATGCATTTTTAAAAACCTTAGAGCCGTATTTAGTTGATGATGAATTCGGACTTATAGATGATTTCGGAAACGACTCAATTGAAAGTAGCAAAAATCTTTCAACAGATTCAATAGACATGGAATTAGAGAATGATGACGAAGAATGTAATAGTATTGAATTTTGTGGTCCATTATTACCGAACAAAAACAAAGATAATGATGTTAGCTCAGGTACTGCTGAAAATTTAGACAATGAATTTGATAGTTCAATGGAAGAGAATGTAACGCAAGATGAAAATTCTCTTTCAACTCCCAAAACTAATGCTAATATTTCTGCTACGCTTGACTCATATGTCAGCACACCTTTACTTAATTTTTCAGGATATGAAAAACTTCCGCCAATATCGAATTTTCAAAAGGATGTTAGTTGTGAGTTGTTGCTATTCGAAAATCTGCCCGGTACTACTGGATCGTATACAAAAATTAAAAATTTACTTGATAAATTCAAGCAGAATTAAAACGAATAGAAACAAAAGATCAAGCAAAAAAAGATATTTTATATGTTAATGATTTACTTATTAAGTCCTATAATGTATTTTGAAATCTATTAATTGCTTGTTCCATATTTTTGCCATAACAAACTAAGGATTTGTTACAGAAACAAATTTAGGTGTGCATTCACACTACATTTTTGCAGCAATCCGAAATTAGGGTGTTCAAGTGTTAATAACGAAAGCTAAACCGATTTCTGCAATAATACTGCAACAAAACCAAATTCTCCAATATTTGCAATAATTTCTGTTATACTGCGAGTAGGCACAATATAAATAGAAATCGAATTTCCTTTCTTTGGGGAAAAAACTTCCTAGAGAGATATACTTTTCGAATGTAAATGTTAAGAAATGTATATATTTTATATATATAAAAGTGGATATATAGGATATATATATATATGTATATAATTATAAGACACAGTTTTAATTATGTGATCTGTAGAATGCGTAGCAGAGAAAGATGTTATATGTTATGCAGTATATATTGCTTAACAAACAGTATTAAAAACACATGTATGTTTTTTTTACAAAACGACTCCGATATGCTATACAGTATATGCGCATCATACAAACAATATTAAAGGCATATCTTTTTTATAAAAATGTTCTTAATATTCATTTATGATTCCTCATTCACATAACTTAATTAGTTTCAATAGATTTATCAATTTAGATTTATCTAATTCAACTGAAAACTGCACGTAGGCCTTTATGTCTAATATGTTGTGTACATATAAAATAAATCTTTCTCATATAGTAGAGAAAGATGCAAATAATGTTAGTTGTCTATAGATTAATGCAATAAAGTACTCTGAATTCAGACTCTATAGACATTTTTAAGTAACTTAATTTAATATCAATTGTATATAAATTTGAAACTTATGCAATAGAAGCCAACCAGCTTATGCTATAGATATATCTATATATTGAATACATTTTACATGCTATTATTATTGTAAATAGCTTATATATAGTAATAAATTGTTATATTTATTTACACATTGATGAGCAGTAATACTATCTTTCTGTAATTGACTGTGATATCTGTAACTTGCATGCATGTAATTTATTTAACATAAAAATTAAGGATTCTTAACATCATTGTCTTTGTTTTTTAATCAATACTTAAATGCATTTATATATAAGATGGTCATACGATATTAGAATTTTAATTAATTTTAATTATTTAAGATTGTGTAAATTTTATTATTTATTATTGAAATTTTTTAATTAATGGCATCGAACAATATAAATAAAATTATGTATAAAAAATAGCAGTTATAGAATTAAAATATATTTCCTAGTTACTTTACATATACATATAAATTAATTTTTCAAGGATTTATGAAAGTTCTTAGCAACCTGAAACTTCAATATATTCGAAAATTAATAATTTAAACAACTTTTTATTTGTGCTTCTATATGTTGCAAAAGCATGTACGCTGTAACAGAATGATGAAGCAGCACTAGGAGTTTTCGAGAGAAAAGTTCTTCGTAAGATCTTTGTTACTCTACGAATTGACGATGACAACCTAAACCGAATTAACCTCGAGCTATACAGGTTTTACTAAGACATTGATATGCTTCAGTGAATTTACACCTAGTGGCTTTGATGGCTTGGTCATATCGAGAATGGATTAAAATGTTCCATTGAAAAAAGTATTTGAGGTTGCAATTGAAGTAAGAAAGCGTAGAGATAAACTGAGTCTCCAATGGAGTGATTAAATTAAGAGAGTACTAACCGCATTTGATATACAAGACTGGAGAAGGTATGGACGCAGCAAAGACGCTTGTAGGGACACGCTACGTCAGACCGAAACACGGTTATGGGTTGTTATAGCAATTTAAGTAAGTGTTAAAACAACTAATATGATAAAATTATAAACGTGGTGAGGTATGAACGATATTATAATGAACAACAAAATTATGCTCAAAAGCAAGTCGGTATGGTACGGTACTATTTATGTTATATATTATCATTGTGGTATATACTATAAGACAAATAGATGTAGTATGGTATTCAGAACAATTGGCATCACGGTTTTGTTAAAAAAAACTGACAGTTAAAAATAGAGTAAACAAAGACAGCTCAAGATGGAAAAACTAACTTTTTTTATCTTGTCCTTTATTTTTAATATCTATTTTATATAGAAAAAGTAGAGTTAACTTTCAATAAAATTATTTAAAAAAATGCTGATATACGGCATAAAAATCGTGACGGTACCATAACGTACTGTATCCGTTTGTATATATCTTTAGAAATATAATATCTTTATTTAAATTTAATTTTAACATTTGCAACTTAAATTATTGGACGCGTTATAGTAGGTCCTCTTCAGATAAATTAGATCCGTTTTACAGTTATGTGATCCTAATAGACACTTCACTCCCTGCAAGGTCGTTTGTCATCTTTGATGAATGACTACAATCCATACTTCACATATTCGTTGGATCCCTTTTGATATTATAATCTATATACCATTACATAAATCAGTACATATGTTTAATCATAATACTTGCAATTTTATTATATGTAAACACAGTTCCATAGAGAAACATAGATGGGTAGCATTTTACTGTTAAGTGATTCTAATGATTGCTTTGCTCTCTTTTAAACTATTTATTATTTTTGATGAATCGGATAAGTCTATGTTGTTCATGCATCTTGAACATCTTGAGAAATGTACAGTGTTCTTTAGCACAACATACCACCTGTCAATATTGTCGTCGTGGCCCATTGATAAGCAAGTACATAATAGGATGGCAATATGTATACAAAAGAAATAGTAGAGGATTATCTAAATCATGTAGAATATGAAGTTGGAGTATGAACAATTCTTAAGCACTATAGATCATTTAAGTCGTATGCATTGTATTCCCCCCAAAATAATAACTAATCTACACCATATTATCCTGTAAATATTTACATAAAATAAATAAAATAAAATTTTTAAAATAAAGTGCTCAATACTTTATATAATTATAAAATGTAATTAATTCATTTTTAATTAGTTTAAATTTTGATTTTGTTAATTATAGTACGCACAAAATTACCATAAACTTATTTTTCTCTTTGAAATACTACTAAAATCAAATGTTATGCCAAAAAGTAGAAATTATTAGTACCAAGTTAGTTTAGGGTGGAACGACGATCCTATGGATCCAACTGAACCTATTTTCCCATCGCGTTACCGTATAGAGAAGGATGATGGAGGATTAGAGGATTTCAAATTAATAATAAATAAAGCTTTAATAAACCCTTAAATACTCATTAAAAAATAGATTTCATTAATGTATAAGAGGCTTTAGAAAGTTAATCTCTAAGAAGTTTAATCTATATTGCGAATACGCTGAATAATGACAAAGTACATGTAAAGCATTTTCTTCGTTCTCAGCACAACTAAGGTAAGAATCATTGAAGGTAATATTTAATGTACTAAAACGATTTCTTAGTTGGCTATAACCTGTCATCAGGGCCACTATAAAAGTTCATTCTTTACAGCTAAACCTAGCAAAGCTAGATCAAAATATTGATTAAATTACTGAAGGTAATTATGTTCAGAATTTTTGTACTTATTAGACTCCAACAGCTTTTAAAAAATCTAATATTTTAACTTAACACTTATTTTCAGATTACAATTTAACAAAAGGGAATTAATTTATTTAATATAAATTTTTATTAAAAATGTAATCATTTTGTGCTTTGCAATTACTATATAATTGCGTATAAATAATAATAATAAAATAATATTACAAATACGTATTTTTATAAATTATTGAATTAGTTTGTGTTAAGATATTTTTTTTTTCAGCCCGTCTAAATATATAAATATTTAGACATATCTGTAAGATTGATTATGTATAATTTTCTATAATTTGATTAAGTATTACTATAAAACATATATATTTTTTTTAAACGGAATATAAATTTTATAAATTCGTTACTTATTGTATTTTTAATGAATAGCTGGCGGTGCTGGTGGTGGAGGAGGATCCCCATGACGTTCATCTCCATCTGGAGTACGACGTTTGGTATTTGTAAACTTTAATAAAGTTTCGGGGCGTATTAAATACATGATTACAGCAAGAATCATAAACATAACCATCATAACAATATTATCATCTTGACGTGCTACAGCTGGTTGCTGTAAACGTCCAGATACTAAAAATAGAAAACACATATATATATAAATAAAGTATATATACGAGAAATATATCATTTTTACCATCAATACATTCCACATCATTGCAATTTGTTTGACTGCGACGCATCTGCAAAAAAAAAAAAATCATATTTACTATTAATAAACAATAATAGATAAATAAATAAAAAAAAGTAGGTGGATAACTTACCAGTGCCAGTAGCTGTTGCATTACAAATTCATGGCTCCAGACACACTCGCATCCATCAAATTCATCTCCTCCGTTAGACATTTTTGCAATTCTTTGTTTTGTAACTGCAAAAAATATTTTTTGTTTAATTTTTTAAAATTAATTTCTTTTTTTATATTAAAATACAATTTTTTCCTCTACTTTTTTAAATATTTTTTTTTTGTTAGCGAAATTTTGTTTATATTATCGCTAGTGTCAGATTTAAGCTCCAAGCACTGGCTACAGCTTTATTTATAACTAAATTTCTCCAAAGTGTTATTCTATATCTGTGCAAAAATGAAATTCTACTGACGTGTCACATTGAATGTATACAATTTAAAACCATTAAAATTTAACTGATTACCAACTTAAAAGCCAAAGTAGATTTCCACTCAACTGAGACTAATTGCTTTTCAACCGAACTTCCCAACGCTTAAAAAGAATATAAAACTGAAAGCAACTGATAAAATATACAAACAAAATTTTTATACCATTTTATAGACTATCCAGACTTTGCGGAGAAGAAGGGTTCTCTGATTAAAAACTAAACGCTTGTAATTATTAAAAAAATATAATTACTTAAAACCATAGATGTTTTTTTTTCAATAAACACATTTTTTTAAACTCGTACATTAAAAGACATTTTCAATACAACTCACATATAAATATGAATAATAATATATCATATATAAATTTATACGTATTATCATATATATAAAGTTTGGTTCAAATCTAATAACAGTAGATTTTGATAGTAGTGAGCATTTTTTTCTCAACGTCCTATTCTTAATTATTTAAATTTGATGTTGGGTCCATTTTCTACAGGCTATACCAATTTCTTGTTATACCAATTTCATAAAGAAACGATTTGTAACTAAATTTAAATAAAACTCGTTACTCATGAATAACACTCGTTACTCGTTATTTGTAAATAACATTAGTTACTCGTGAAATAGCACTCGTTATTCGTGAATAATACTCGTTATTCGTGAATAACACTCGTTATTTGTGAATAAATTTGTGAATAACACTCGTTATTCGTGAATAACACTCGTTATTCGTGAATAACACTCGTTATTCGTGAATAACACTCGTTATTCGTGAATAACACTCGTTATTCGTGAATAACACTCGTTATTCGTGAATAACACTCGTTATTCGTGAATAACACTCGTTATTCGTGAATAACACTCGTTATTCGTGAATAACACTCGTTATTCGTGAATAACACTCGTTATTCGTGAATAACACTCGTTATTCGTGAATAACACTCGTTATTCGTAAATAACACTCGCTATTCCTGAACTTGTAAAACCTAAACAATTTTTATTCATAAATCCTAAACAATAGTTTAGACACCTGACCAACGCTTCATTTCTAAACAATACTCGTAACTCTTGAACAATACTCGTAACTCGTAACACACACAACACTCATAACTTCTGAAGAACACTTCTAAACAATATTCGTTATTCCTGAACAACACTTACAAGTATAGTTCCCTAACAATACTTTTCACTCCTGAACAAATTTGTCATACCTGAACCACATTTGTTATTCATGAACCACATTCATTATTCCTAAACATTCGTAATTCCTGAACCACATTCGTTATTTCTGAAGAACGCTTATAACTCCTGCACAATACTGTTTACTCCTGAACACTACTCGGTAGCTCCTGAGCAATACTTGTTACTCCCAAAAAACAATATTCACTTCTAAACCACACTTATGCTATATGAAGGTCTGAATCGATTAATAATAGGGAAAAAGTTCTCAGAGATACAAAATACTGTCACCAAAATAGATCTTTTGTGCTACAACTAACCCTTACCAAACAAAGCTCATTTAGTCTTTCGAATAAAAACGAGATTATTTTTTGAGATTAGGTCGACAGCTCCCGTTCCAGCACGCTCCGTCCTACTCAATTCTGTATAAAAGAACCATAAGATAATGAGGTAGTTTAATATACCTACACAAATAAATAGTGTTAATAATGGTAATCCAAAGCAAGCATCAACACTGAAGCATAGATAATATCTATCTTCAATACTGAAGAGTGCATAGGCAAATTAAGGTAAAGGAAATAATCTCTTCTCACTTAGCTAGAGAGGCTGTATCATTTCATATGCCTTGTAAATACGGGAAGTAATTTGTTTTATGAACAGCTGAACGCATTAATAGGCTCGACTACTCCTATAAATGTTGTGAAGAGAGTTGAAGAATTGAAAAAAATTCATTTCATAATGATACATAATACTTTTTTAAGCTAATAGAAACTAAGAAATTCAATCAATACAAATAACAAAGCAACTTAATTAATATATCTATTATTTTTATCAAAGAATGCTTCTATCAAAACAGAGCTTCCATTTTTACCACGAACAATAGATATTTTTTTTTTAAGTGATTACAGACACGTTTTCTTCTGATAATTTTAAGCGTAAGACTTCTACTCGTCAATCATTATATTCTTTTCCGCGTAATATTTTCCAGAATGGAAAGTGCAAATAAAGAATAGTAACGTATTTATATGGGGCTTAGATGATAGTACCAGTAAGTAGAAATTTTGATAATGAAACTTTAGAAGCACTTGAGGAAGTTATCGACTATGGACAAAGAAATAATAGAAGAAATAGTTTAAGTTTTTGATCAGAGTGAATTTATGACAGGAACTTGAGAATAACACTATTAAGAATGCTTCTTTATTCATATACAGTCAAACTTTCATAACTCGAACTTCTATAAGTCGAATTTTCTATAACTCGAACTAAATAGTGCGCAACACGGTTTAGAGAGCAATTTATTTAAAAAAAAAAAATCTCCATTAGTCGAACCCTTTCTTTGCAAAATGGTACTTCGAGTTATTGAGGAGTTATATATGTATATAACTACTGTTAAATCTTAGTCTAATTAGTTTAGTGAGCTGCAAAAACATTGCCAAAAAAATGTTATAGTATATACTCCCTTTAGTACAATCTTGTCTACGCAACTGTCAAAGTAGAAGAATTAAATCTCGAAATTGCACGCAACGCTGTTAATTTTTTAGTAATCTGGATTGATAACCACTAGTTTGTGGCATCATAGACGTACTCAAGTGGGAAGCGAAGGTCTGTTTCTTCCATAAAGGGTGCCTGAAGTGATTTTCCACAAGAAAAAGAGGACCCACATAATGATGACCAGCTACACCGTCCCTTCTTCTAAAAGGGATAAATTGACGTCTACAATTTAGGTATGTGTAAATGTAGGCAAATCGGTATGTAGTGATTGAATTTACATAATTAATTTAATAACCATTTTCTTTTTTCAAATGATATGAGCGGAAGATTATCTTAAATGAATAATCTTTTTCTTCTTTCTACAGTTTTATAAACGGACAGTTTTCAAAAGTGGTCCAACTGTAAGACGATTTCTACTTAGAATCTAGAATTTTTTTTCCTTTTTTTTTAGTCGACAGTTTTATTACAGGAAAGTCTTCAGATGTGACCAAACTCTAAGACGATTTATAGCTGAGCGCATGTGTGGCGATTTTTTGTTCTTAACCGTGAAGATTTTATCTACTATTCTTCACATATTCATTAATGTTACCATGATATCTGAATTCTACCAATTACTCATAAGCTATTTATACAATCACTTATTTTGGAGGAATCGAACGTCTATGGTGACGTTTAGTAAGTGATTGGCACTCTTTTGCGCAGTAGATTTTTATAGGGAACCGCAGAGCAAAAATACACATACTACTAAACTGATAAAGAGTTAATATAGGGATTGGGAATAAATGATGAGATTTAGTATTGAATAAAATAATGTAATGAGGGTGGAACGAAGAGTATAAGAAAAAGTAAGTTTTTTAAACACTTATAATGTATAAATTGATTATCAATTAAATTTAATTATTAATGTTGGGAATAATAAATCCCGAAAATATAATAGATCCGAAGCCAAAGAGCTGGCGAACAATAGAGTCATGTCTGATTTAAGTCCTCAAAGCGAAACAATTAGACCTAGAAAGGACAACCCGAAACTAGGCTAATAAATATTGCAGACATTAAGAAAAAGTGGAGGTCTGAACGCAGATCGAAAATCACAAGAGCTTGGGTTTTGGCTTTCGTTTTTGAATCAATGCGAAAGTGGTTCCGAGGGGAATGAGTCTCGGTTAAGAGGAGATGTTTTAGCCATATACTACATATTAATGTTTAGTAGTCGGGCACACCATTCCGACGACGGCCGGTATGACAGTGCATAAAGCATTGCACTAAAAAAAATCTATTAATATAAAATTCTAAAATAAAAAATGTTTTCGAATTTGTATTTATTTATATAGTCTTCTTCTATATAAAGTTATCGTTTCGAAACTTTTCGACTTCTAATCTTATCAATCATAAAATAAAGTTTGTTCATACAGCATTTCTAATTAAGAAGTCAAAAAACTTGAGAACTTTATATAGAAAAGGATTACATAAATAAAAATAAAGAGGTTTTTCGAACAGTAGTGAACTACAACAACAAAAATTCATTTTATATTATTTTAAATAATTGAATTTTTGGCTGACCATACAGCTGTTTCGAGTGTTGCCAAATGCCCATCATCAGTGTTCTTGTATTTAATTATTCGTAAATAATTTTTTGTGACTGCAAGTACCAGAAATCGAACTCGTACCCTGCCAAATTTGAAACTTAGAGTCAGCGCACCTTAACTAACTGACTCAAAGCCGTACTTGACTTTATGTTTTATTAACAAATTCACTTGCTGTGTTGATATTAGAACGAAATCACAAACCAGCTGTAGAATAATTGAATCAAATATTTCTATTTCTATTTTTAATTTTTAAATTTCAATACTTTTTTTTTGTAGAGACATTATTTATTGCATGTATCTTGTATATATAGCCTCATCTAGGACCGTAATACTGAGAAAGTCATGCTAATGTTGCTCCACGAGTCGCATGAACGACAATGGATAATTTTTAACTTAAAAAATTAACATTTATAACATTTTAATAATAAATAAATAATTAAGAATAAGTTAACATTAAATAAAAACAAAAACAGTTAAATGTAACTGAAGTTCGCTACGCGACCCTATTTTACTCGCTGGCTTAAGAGTACATATATGGGCGTGGGTGTGTGTGTGTGTATACAGTATTATTTGTTAAAATAATTAAAACTAGAACTTTATTAAAAAAAATATTCAAGTGTAGAGTGAAATGTGAATACAAAATAATCACGAACTCAGGAAAACCTTGAAAATCGAAGTATATAAATTGTGTCACAAAATCTAATATTTTTTTTAACCCGATAAGAATTGTATTTTTT